ATTTCTATAATAATATTCTATCAGGAGACCTCACTTAAGAGATAGGAAGAAGACATTGCTTGTAAGGTCTCCGCTGCATATACCAGTTAGTACACAATCTGGCTAGGTTCGTGTGTTAGAGCATGCGCAATATCTCACCAGAAGAGTTATATTTAGTGATTATTATGTATTTAATATGGTTAGAGGGTATCTCAGCATAGATTTAAGTAATAAATTGTTATCAGTAGACCTGTCTTTATAATTAGGAGTGCGCCCTAGCCTGTAGGGTGCAAAAATTCTAAATTCATTCACTACCGTCCTTGCCATTACCTCCATTGTCCCTCACTCAGCCTCGTTTTTGTTCTCCCGCCCCTCAGATATCTTCCCTGTCGTCTTTCCTTAGTTCCCATCTCTTTCTCTCTCTCTCTCTCTCTCCGACTCCTCTGCGTCTCGCTCTCTCATCCTCCTCACCTCCTCTCTCTCCTCCCTGCTCTCGTTCTCTCTCTCCCTCGCCTCTCCTCTCTCTCTCCTGCATCATCATCTCTCTCTCTCTTCTTCTGCTCTCAGCAACCCTATATTATGCAGTTGTCTTCAGTCTGATTACCCTGGCACGCGCTGAAACGGTGATTCGACGCATGGCAATTATCTCCCGAGAACAAATAATATTTTGCAAAAAGTTACTGCCATCTTAATGAATGACGAAGAATTAATTCCTAGCATAATTTATATGATAACATTCATCAAGTACACCTTACTTAAGAGACAAGAAGAAGACATTGCATGTAATGTCCCCTGCGCATATACCAGTCAGTACACAATATGGTTCTATGTTCAGAGTGTTAGTGCATGCGCATATCTCACCGCAGAAGAGTTATATTTTGTGATTAATATGCATTTAATATGGCACTAGGGGTATTGCAGCACTAGTTTCGCCGTAATAAATTGTTATCAGTAGACCAGTCTTTATAATTAGGAGAGCGCCCTAGCCTGTAGGGTGTAAGAAATCCTTATTAATCCCCTACCGTCCTTGCCATTACGCTCCATTGTCTCTCGTTCAGCCTCCCCTTTTTGTTCTCTCCGCCCCTTCAGATATTCTCCTGTCGTCTTTCCTTAGTCACCACCTCGCGTCTCTCTTCTATCCGGTGCTCTCTCCCTCTCGCCGTTACATCCGGCCAAAACCCGTCGTCTCTCCCGGGGTCGTCTCCTCTCGACCTGCTCCGTCAACTCCTCCGTCTCCCGCTCCTCCCGTCCACCCGATCTGCTCTCCGGTCGGCTCTCCGTTTCACGTCGTCTGTTCTCTCCGTCCACAGCCCATCACTCGTCCCGTCCCGGCGCGAGGTCGGGATCGGGTCGGTCGGGTCGGTGCTCCCCTCTCCGCCCTCCCGTCTCTCTCCCTTCAACAAGCATATATGGGCCGTTTTCTCTCCCAGGCGGTATGCACGCGCCTGAAACGCCGGCGGGCTGCTCAGCGGGCATCGCTGCCGAAGATCTCCGGAGAATCAGAAATAAGATTTTGCAAAAATTATGCATTTAAAATGAAGAGGAGTTACCTTATATTCCGTGAAGAGTTAGCCTTGTACGCCGGCTACTTCGTGAATTGAGAGTAGCGAGAGCGCCATTTGTCACGGAGTTTGCCCGTTCGCACAATAAATCGTTATTATACCTGACCCCCGTATGTACCCGGTATATACCCCAGGCCCCACGTTAGAATACAATAAGTAGATACAATGGTAGGGGTGTATGTGTCCCGTATATACCCCAGGCCCCACGTTAGAATACAATAGGTAGATGCAATGATAGCGGTGCATGTGTCCCGTATGTACCTCGGGCTCCACATTAGAATACAATAGGTAGATACAATGCTGATAGGTAGATACAATAGGTAGATACAGATGTATGTGTCCCTTATGTAGGGTACGTGCCCGGTATCATTTACCCCCAGTTAATGGTTTTGTGCGTGCGAAGACGAGTCCCCACTAGGGGTCACCCATTACAGCATGGAGTGCGAGTGTATACAGTTTAGTTGATAGCGTGCAGTGATGTCTCTTGCTCGGGAACTGTCGTCAGCAACGTTATATACGTTGTTATAACGTCATCAATTCAAAAAAATGTCAAACCTCATCTGACAGTGGGGTTTTGTACAAAAGTTATGACATTTTAGACTTTTTTATAGTTATTATAGTTATTATCTAGGATTAATAACGACAGATTTGCCATTATGAACCCCTGTTATTATATTATATGGCTAGTTATAATGATGCTGACAACGGGCCCCTCAACCGTTGACATGACAGATAGGGGCGCGCGCGTCGCCACACTTTGTAGGTCATACAGATTTATGTCGATTACAAGTAAGATGTATGATTATGGGATGTATGATTATGAGATGTATGATTATGAGATGTATGATTATGAGATGTATGATTATGAGATGTATGCTTATGAGATGTATGCTTATTAGATGTATGCTTATGAGATGTATGCTTAGGAGATGTATGCTTATGGGATGTATGATTATGGGATGTATGCTTATGAGATGTATGCTTATGAGATGTATGCTTATGGGATGTATGCTTATGAGATGTATGATTATGAGATGTATGCTTATGAGATGTATGATTATGGGATGTATGCGTGTGAGATGTATGATTATGAGATGTATGATTATGGGATGTATGCTTATGAGATGTATGCTCGATAATTGTCGTGATGAGGAAGTTTATGCGTGTTGCGAGATGCATGCGTAAACACGATACTTGCAGACCCTTCCTGATACTACCTGACTGACTCATCTACGTTCGTTTATAGCGTCTGCCGCCTAGCCTGCTACGCGAACTACCGAGATGCCCCCAGGGGCCGGTCCAGCTTGTTTCAGTCTGTTTTGAAGGTCATGGACCTCTAGACCCCGTTACCAAGTTGTCAAGAACAGTTCGTCAATGGTAGAGACAGCAACTCGTCGCTGTTAAGTGTGACAGATGTGAAATGACGAAATGTGAATAAATCAAGAAATTACCAGTTGTGTTTGCGATGGTTCGAACAGAGGTGATGGTTAGACGGCGGGCGGAG